GTTTTGTCTATTTACTATTGAATGTCTTTTATTTATAGTATTAATTCACTTATTTGTATTAAATTATACAATACCAAAACGAGAAAATAAAATGAAAGTATCTGGAATAAGCGAAATATGATTTTATTGAATTAAAGATTACAAAAGTACAATAATTTGAAAATATAATTTTTTAAAAATATAAGTTCGAAAACTGAAAAGAAATTTTGTAGAGAGGAATTTTTTAGAGAGAAGATGATTGATGAAAATTGCTCGTGCTCTTAAATGAATCCGAAAGTAGCTATATATAGAAGAATTGAGAGAGTCTTGAATTATTAAAGCAAGATTCGAGTCTTCTTTTGCTATTACGTGGTTGATCTTGATTGGAAAACGTCTTGTCATAAAGTTATGATGCTGAGTGAGGCTGGTTAGACTCTTTTTGGTGTGAATTCTTGATTGGTGCTGATACGGTATTGGTAGGCCCCAGATGTTGGGATACATACATACAATAGGCCGTACAATAGTACATATCGTAATATATTTAGTATATATATGCATGTTAAGTACACTGTAAAATAATACATACTGTAATATATACATTTTTTTTCCCTTCAAATGGATCCTGACCCAATGGACCTCCGAAGGGATCCGATTCTTGTGTGGGTTGGATAGGGTCGTCTTCGTCTTCCAAGGATGACATGAGATCCTTGATTAATTGTTTAAGTTTTTCCTTGCCAGATAGTTTTTTCTTCTTCGAGCTGGTCGAGGAAGTTACCGAAAATGTTTGTAGTTGTCTTGTTGTGTCTTGGTTGGGTTGAGTAGGATTTGATTGAGTAGTCAGCGGCAGAGATCTTGATACTTGTTGAATAGTTTGGTGTATAAATTTATTGGTTTGGAGCCATTTTTCTTGGTTAACCAGTGAGCAACGGTCGAGGTTATATTTGTCCCACCATTTGACTTGAAACTCTCGAGTTAGTGAATAGGGCATGTTGGGTAGTGTGTTGGTAAGGTTGAAATGCCAGGATACAATCCAAGGTATGCCCATATCTATATGAAAACTTATTTTGGTAAGGGTTTCAAAGGGTTGGTTGGAAATGTGTTTGGTATAGTTTCGCAAAGCGATATTGGTTATAATGGTTGGATAGATTTGATCAGAAGGACCAAACCAAATGCCACCATTCATAGAACCATCCGGGGAATTGTTTGGGGCAATTGATATCCAATGATCTTCGGTAAAAGGTATTAGATAGTGCTTGATTATAATCTATGTAGGAGAATCCTTGTAACGCCCCCGATCAGTAATAGAGCGAGAACGCTACTAACGAACACTTAGGCGTCCGATCAGAGGTTCCCGGAACACATCCAAAATCCCTAGACAAGACTTCTAAGCGTTCATTCCCATCAAATACGTCTCAAGGCTTTCCAACCCGAGACGTATCCGACGGTTGGTTTGTCCGGACAAGGACTAATATCACATGAAACCGAGTTGCTCAAAAACTCATTTATATATATATTTTTACATAGGTTTCAAACGTGGTTACCAAATATACACGGGCACGAGTCTAACAATCAAAATAGTCACATACATATTAAGTGTTAATGATTTACAAAAAGCAAGGAAATCTACCACTGATTTTCCTAACGTTCCTTCGTATGCTCCCAAATGATCTACCCACTAAAGGTTGCCTACAAAACAAATTGAGTCGTCAGCACTAGTTGCCCAGTGAGTCTAGGGTTCCCTTAAACAATAATCGTTTCCCAACCAAACCCAAAATAACAATCAACATACAAGCATGAAATTCAATTCAATAAATATGATAGATTATGCATTAACGATATATTTCAATAAGACCTTACGCGTTGACTATTCCCTTCACGTGAAACAAAGGCATCTTTCGGACCAAAGCCACGAAGGCTAAGGTCTTAGGATCTTCAAATATTCCGGTGGCCTAATCTTTAAGGAACCACACCGGAATAAGCAACGTCATGCATTACACGACCCTAGGCTGCAATCCCGTCTCTCCGTGTCTTCATGCTTAACCAAAATCTTTAGTGGTTAAGCCACGACCTCAAGGGAATATCATACCGTGTTCATTTATCAGTTTATAAGTTTGACCAACACTTAAGTTTTTATGTAAACTTATATGGTCAAACTTATAATTCGTATCATACTTCCATAGTTAACCATTTGCATGCGTATGTTTCACACAAGTAAGCACTTAAGCAATTCTAACAAGTGTAAACATTTTCGCTGCTAGAACCTCTGCGGCTATAAACATATAAACAATCAACAAGAATTCACGTGTGTCCTACTCATCTAACACACGGTAAAACATCACCAAAGACTCACCTTTGACTTAGCGAATGATCGCGGTTCTGCCAAAAGTTTCTACAAGCGATTTTGCCTTAGCCTTTGAACTGGTTCCAAGGACAAACTCCTCTATTTTCTTAACATCAAAGCGGATCTTCAAGTTATTGGGGATTTTCCCAACAAAGATCATTTCTGGTGGGAAAAGTTTTTCTTTGTGAAAATCAATGAAGCTTCTGTTGGGAGTGACAGGCTTCGACAGAGATGGGGGACTCGCGGTAGCCGACTTTGCTGCGCTACCATCTTCAACTTAGATTTTTTTTTTTTCGATCTTGCTTGTCAGTCTCCTTGGTTTTGCAATTCTAACACTTTCCTCTTGTTTATTGTTTTGTAGTTTTGAGCCGCATTGCGAAGTTGCCAAGGGACTTATTTGATCTTCGCGCTGACCTTGCTGCTGAGAAGTGTAGCTGGCAGGAGGACTTCTCTTTACGCAGAGCAAAAATAAAATTTTTGTTCGTCGCTTCGGAGTTACTTCGTTGAATTCTTCACCAAAGATGT